CCCAGGGGGAGGGCCTTCTCTGTGGGTGCCCCCACCCTCTGGAACGAACTACCCCCCGAGATCCGGACGATTCCGGACCTCCTACCTTTTCGCCGCGCCCTCAAGACATGGCTTTTTCAACAAGCGGGTCTGGCCTAGGGAGAATTTTTAAATAGGGACAATTTTAATTTAAATCTTAATTAATTATACAGCGAAAAAACATATTTGGTTTTTAATAGGTTTTTATGGGGGGACGATGTTTTATGTGTTTTAATATGCTGTAAGCCGCCCTGAGTCCTATAGGGAGAAGGGCGGCATATAAATCCATGTAAATAAATAAATAAATAAATAAAGTAATCATGGAGCAGTGGTGTAACATGGATCAGCCTAGGGACTTCAAGAACTGCCCATGCGACTGCATCTTGACTGGTTGTAGCTTCCGATTGCTCTTCAAGGGTAGCCCCATGTAGAGTGTGTTGCAGTATTCTAAATGTGAGATGACCAGGGCTTGAGTGACTGATATAGGGACTCCTAATGAAGGAAGGGCCACAGCTTGCATACAATACAAAGTTGTGAAAAGGCTCTCCTAGCAACCCCATCCAGAATTAAAGTCAACGCTCTATGCTTCCAAACCCATTCAGTTTTGCCAGGATTCAGACGAAGCCAATTGCCCCATCCAGGCCACCACAGCCTCCAGGTACTTTGAGAGTACAATGACAGCATCACTTGGATCACTAGGGTTGGAGATATAAAGTTGAGTATCATCGACGTACTGATGATACCTCAACACGTGGTGGTGAATGATCTCACCCAGCAGGTTCATGTAAGAGGTTAAAAAAGTAGAGAGAGTACTGAGCCCTGTGGTATGTCACAAAGGAGTGGCCATGGGATGGACTTCTCACTCCATATCAATTGGGACCGGCCTTGGAGAAAGGAGCCAAACCAGTGCAAGACTCCTGCCCGGCCCCAAACCCCATAGCCAGCCCAAAAGGATACTATGGTCAGTGGTATTGAGAGCTACTAAGAGGTGAAAGAGGGCAAGGATAATTGCAGTACTCCCATCCTGTTCTCACCAGAGATCATTAGCAAGTGTGATCAGTGCTGTCTCTATCCCATAACCGGGCCTGAATCATGACTGGAAGGGGTCTAGATAATCCATTTCACCCAGAACCCCCTGAAGCTGCCAAGGAACCACCTTTTCTACCACCTTCCCTAGAAAGAGAAAATGGGAAACTAGATAGAATTGTCCAGACAGGTGGGATCGTTATGTTTTTTTTAAAGGAGGAAATAAACCAGGACCTCCTTAAAAGGTCCGGAAACATCCTGTCCTGCAGTGATGAATTTATCACTGCTTGAACCCATCTTGTCCTCACCATCCTGGAGGCTTTCACCAATCAGAAGAGGCAAGGATCTAATTGACAGGTGGTTGCATCTCTCAAAGTTTTAGAGAAAAGACTGGACAGCCACCTCCCAAGGAAGGTTTAATAAGTTTTCCTGCACATTGCAGAGGATTGATGATCTTTGTGGTCCTTTCCAACTCAATCATTCTATGATTGACATTAATATTATAAAAGGTGAACATGAAATCTCAAGATTAAAAATATAAAAACAAGCATAATAAACTAAGTCACGTGTGATTTGTGTGTTCTTTTTCTCCAAATGAATCAGCTTAGTTTGGGGAAAAATGAAGTTATATAAATCAGAATAAATACTTATGCTTCCAAAACGAGCATGTTTAATTTTGTATCTAACGTAGAATGTATTGTTAGTCATTCTCTTAACCCTGTATTGTCAGACTTAAATTATTAAAGCACCTTGATATGACATACACTTATTTAAAGATTTTAATTTTTTAAAATTAAGTTACATTAATTTTTTATTGTAGTTTTTTTCTTTGATTTCTGTGAGTCAGTCAGAGTTATTGAAAATTGGATGGTATACAGATTTAATAAATAGGAGTAATCATCATCACCACCGTATACTACACCAATACATTACAACTTCCTACATTCTTGGGAAGAACTTGATACGTATGAAGGCAACATCAACTAAAGAACTGGCAGCTCTGATTTTATATTATTGTGTATATAATAGCAACTTTGCCAAAGGTTACCTATATATTACAGAATATTCACAATTAACACTGGTAAAATTTATGAGTCACTATCTACTGATGTTTGTTTATTTTTCTAAGCTTTCTAAACAGATGATTGAGTTATTACTTCTTATGTTATGCCTCCATAGTTGAATATGGCTGATAGTAGTTTTCTGTTAGAAATGAGCTTTTACTACATGTGTTCTACAGAAATGACTTTAGCCTATTTTTTGTATCCTGGTTTAAAGTATCTGATATTTATTTGTTTTATAACTGTGCTAAGAAAAATATAATTTGCTTTGCATTTGAAATATTTCAGCTTTAATTCCTGGCATTTCTCAGTTAAAACCAGTATTGATTATCAGTGCTGGAAGAGTTCTCTATCAAAGGCCTTGGGAAATTGCTGTCAGAATAGATAGTATTGAGCTAAATGGATCAGCGATCAGACTCTGTATATAATTTGATATGTCAACCTTATCAATATTGATGTTGATAAAATCTAGTTGTTGATATATACTGCTCACAAAAATAAAGGGACATTTTTACCATGGAACTGAAGGGGTTTGCTTTCCCTTTATTTTTGTGAGCAGTATATATTGTTTTTGATTATTGTCATGGATGAATCATCTACAGAAAAGAAGATGGAGGAAAGTCATGATATTGCATTCAGGTACATAGGAAAGATGACTTGAAACTATGAT